CTACTGTTACTATGCTACTATCTACTTCTAATATTTCTGCTATCATCTTATCTATATGATCTTCTAGACCCATTACCGATCTGCTACCTTCTGCTATTATTTCTTTACTGTATTCTTTAGTCACTACTTCTACGAGTCTGTTGCTTTCTTTCTGTTCTACATATCTGCCTATTTTAGTCTATAGCTATTAGCTCTGTCTATGCTCTATACTTTATTTAGTAGTTACTCTTTTTGTTCAGGTTCTTTAGATCCTGTTTCTAGAAGTGACTTCGCCTTTTTTCGAAATTTCTCATGAGTTTACTCAGATTGCCTGTAAACTATTTGGTTCTGGTCTTGCATGATTCGTCTCTGCTTCTTAACACGTGACATATAATTCAATAATGTATTTTTTGTTTACCTACTTTGCACGTGTTTGTGTTATGTAATTAATCGGTGTTTCAGAGTATTTTGGGATTCCTAGTTTTGTTTTCAAAAAATTTTTTTTCGTAGTAAATTTTTGATAATATCTCTTCTAGGCCACTTTTTGAGTTCGAGTTTTTCAATTCTTCTACTTCTTTATATGTAATTTTGCTCTTTATATCTCTTTTCTTAATATGCTAAAAGGTATTTATTAGTGAGTTTAGTAGTTTATCTATGTAGTAACCTTTAGCTCGATTTTGTAACCAGATGATCTATGAGGAGAGTTGTATGCCAAATGCTATATTCAATAATATATCAACAAAAGATATAAAAATTTTACTACTAATACTACTTCAATGATAAATAGTATTCTCAAATGTTATTAAGAACTAGTAATCTTCTACAATATATGTACCTCCTCTAGCTAATCTATAATTTATACAAATTAAACAATATATTAGAGACTACTATAAACAGTAGACAAATTACAATTTATTAGACCTATTAGAATTGCCCAAATAGCACCAAGAATATTAGCTAAAACTTTATATTTAATTATTATTGTACTAGCATCTCAATGATCTAATTACCTTACTAGAACTCTACACTACTATTAACAACTCTTCAAATAGTAAAATCTTTTACTAATTTCTAATAAAATAATCAAAAAAGCAAGTGATAATTTCTTAAAAATATTTCTACTACTATTTAACAAATATCTTATAATACAAACTATACCTAAGAATTAAAACAGAAAAATATCTATTCAATTTTTAAAAAACCAATTTTTATAAGTAAACTCAACTATACTTGCTCAATTACACTAATTAAATATATGCAAAAAATTTATACTAAAATAATCACAAATTGTATAAATACTATATTCAACTAATATCTAATTCTAAATAATAATAATTTTATTGCTCTACCTCATTCTACTACTACTATACCAATTCAAATATTAAGATATATATTTGAAGACTCTAGCATATATAACAAGAAAATATGAATATTATTATAGAATATAAAAAAGGTATATAGTATAGTTTATATTCTACTACTAATCAAAGCTCTCAATAGAAACAAAATTTCTAAAACTATTTAATATATTATTCTTAATATCTATTCATATTGCCAAAACCAAATTATTACTAATCTTAGCAATATTTAGCCTTATACAGTACAAGATAGTATAAACTAGAGTAAAACAATTATACTTATACTCTAGTATATATATCATAATCTACTAATTAACACTATTACTAACAAATATACAGAATATACAATGATATTAGATACAGATCTCACTTTACTACAAAACAATATAACTAAATTTAATACTCTAGTCCTAGTATATATAGATAATATCCTTAAATTACATCTATACAATATCACTTACAAAAGATAGTAAATACAGCTTTATTATTTTATAAGCTTACTAAAATTATAGTTAATCTAACAAAGTCTGTTCTCTGTATTAACAACTACAATACTACAAAAAATACTATTTACTTTAATAATATGAAACTAACTTCAATAAAACCTAAAGAGACCTTTAAATTTTTAGAATATTTTTTCACAATATACAAAATATATACTAATATACAATATTATTAAACATAAAATCAACTAAGCATTACTATTTCTTAAAAAGAAGAAAATTATAAACAAGCAATATATATATATCATTAACTTAGTAATTATATCTAAATTCAACTACTATATTTTTGATACAATAATTTTATTATAAATAGATAATAGCATTACTAATAAGTATACTATAATCATAAAACACAAAGCTAAAATAGCTACTTCAATTCCAAATTCTACAATACATCACCACCAAATCTATAACTTACAATACCTATAAGATAGCTAAATTTGTTAACATATCTCTAATACAATAACTCTACTAAATAACTATATTCATAACAATAATACTATAAGTCGAATACAAATTTAGTAACTCCAAAATGCAGTTTTCATATCCTACAACATACAATTCTCTTCAAACTTTATACTCCTTACACTACATAATTATACTACTATAGCAATAATAATTACAGAAATGCATAAACTTAGAATTACTTTAACAAGCAGTCTAAATTTATAGTCTATAATATATAGCTTTCTAAGATAAAGTATTAACTTTCTAATTAGAAAGTGCATATATTTACATATAACTAAAGCTAAAACTAACAAAATAAATCTCTATACTATAGAACAAATTACTAACTACAACCATACCTTACTTTTATTCTGACAACACATTGTATATACTACTAACAAAACTTCTTGTAAACCAACATCTAAATAGTTTATTTAATTAACAGAACTCTTAAAAAACTTAATAAATAATACTTTATCCAGTATTCTCAACAACTCACTCTACTCTAATCCATACACTCTACCAACTACTAATCTTATCAATTAAATCTGGACTACTACAACTCTATAATAATTGGCAAAAGTACCAATTACTAATACTTAACTACTAATTTAATACACTGAATATACAACTCAACTAATAGCAAACTAAAACTATTTAGATGCAATAGATACAATCTGATAACAACTACTAATAGGTTTAATCACTATATAATACAAACTAATACTAAATACTTACTACTAATTTACATTTCTTGCACACATCTACTTCAATCTAATATCACAAATATACATGCAGCTCATCTTGCTCAAAAAAGCAACTACAATATCAACAACAATTCAAACACACTATATATACATAGTAAATCTAACCTTACTACTACTATTTTCCAAAATGGACTTGCAACAGACATGCTACAAAAAATAAAATCAACAATCACCAAGCAACACCAATATATAGCCAATATAGATACAGTTTGCAACTCACCAAAAACCATACAAGCAAAAACTTACTTCATGGAAAATTAATAACGAAGAGACCTTTATAGCTCAAATCACTCAATGGCAATCACATACAAGAGCAATATGTACTGCAATAATTACTATACTCATCACTCTCCTACTAAACTGTGCATTTGCCATATTTACAACCTCAAATCCCGAACCCTCCAAAGACAAGGAATTTCATACGCATTGTTGTCTTTAAATAAATTAAATGGAGTATTTAAAAAAGTTATAAAATGATGTAAAAATCCATTAATAAATAATAACGAATTTCGGTTAGAATAACCTGAAATAGGCCCCTTTGCTTACCTTTAATTGTTCCCGTGTTATTTTTGTGTGTTTCTTTAACTCGTCAAATCGAACGCCTCTTTCTGCCGTCTTTCTGCCTTTCTTGTTGGTTGTTTTATGTTTTGTTGTGTGTCGTGAGCTAATCTAAAGCCGACCCCTAGTTCACCTTATAACACCACTTTATATTATGAAGCAGTTATAAATTTAATATAACTGTTAATATATTGAAGTAGTGACTTTCCAATGGAATCAATGGACCTGGGTCCATTAATACCAATGGACAAATGTGCCGACCATGCAGGATTACAGCTATAGAGTTATCATGGTAAAGGTATCAACTGAAATCTTTGATAAATTCCACTTGATATTGATCTATGGTAAAGATTTGTGATAGACTGCGACTAGAATCCGCTTCTAAATCTTCAGATTGTAATGTTGAATTGAATTAAAAAATATATACTGAATTACAAAATTATACAGTTACACGCAGTGTTTCAATATTTTGATCTTCGAATGTTCATTTATTACGTATCGCTTTAATAGCTGATAGCTGTACGTATTTACGCAATTTAGTAATGGTTACATCGATCATATTACACAAGTTCTAATACGCGTAGAACTATTTGATTATTATCGTTATACAGAATTAATAATTATATTTAACTAATTGGGAAAACTCGGCAAAATGACCCGAAATTATTTGTAATATAAATGTGTAATTTTTCCATCCGTAATTTGCATTTTGTAAAAACTCACAAAATATGTAATGGTAAATTTCTGGCCAAAAATGTTTCAGCAGCATGTTTAACAGAATTTAAACTTTGTAAATCCAATTGCAAGAATTCAATAGAATCTTTTTGGGTTTCTTTTTTTATTAATTCTACAGCTGATTCACCTCTATCTTTACTACGGCTTGCAACGAAGACATGCGCATTTTTGCGAGTCAATTCTCTGGCTGTCGCGAATCCTATACCAGTGTTTCCTCCCGTTACTATTGCAACCTAAATAATTATTTATTTATTTATAAGAAATTAAAACATAGTTAAAATATCTTAATTATATTGTTGCTAGAATTACCTTGCCAGAAAGATTAGGAATATTTTCAAAAGTAAAATGCTTATTAGCAAACATTTTTTTTTTCGTCAACGTAAATTTACGGATAGACAAATTTCACAAATTATTTCGGGTCATTTTCTCAATTAATACCAGTTCGATCACATGAATATGTAACATTAAATGTGAAAAGGATGGTACTGTTAACTTAAGGTTATCGATGTTTTCTTCATATCACCAGGCCATATATTTTCTTTATATAAAATATCCGGCGATCATGATCGATCAGAAGATCTCTTACTGAAATAAGGATATCGGGTATAATTACCGAATTTGGATTCTTATAATTTCGCGTCTGTTATTTTGCAGTAATCTCGTGAAGACATCTACAATTAGTATTAGAAAATAGTAAGTGGAATTATGAATCTAATCTTGAAGTAAAGAATATAAATTGTTGTAATTAATCATCTGTATAAAGCCTTCAAAATCACTTTCAATAAAGTTTAGTTAGAAAATAATTAAAGAGTTCTTGATAAATAAGTTTAGTATAACTCAAAATTAGGGATGTTATCCTGCTTAAACCGGTTAGTTCGTGCTTTGAAACCCGAACTAACACTGTTCGGAAACAGAAACAAACACTGAGTTTTAAACTTTGCTTTAAACTTGTTTGTATACATGTACTATAAATTATGCTTCCTAAACATGTTAGTTTGAACTCGTGTTTATTATAAAATAAA